AAAACACACAATACGTATTACCAAATAAGTGCGATCTTAACCACTATTTTTCGCTTTTCCTTCTATTCCTAATCTCTGCTTATATCACAGTTACTAATGGATACTAAAGTTATCCTACCTTAATATCTTGCTTAATTGCAATCCTCTCGGATCCTCAATATCTTTGGATAAACTCGTGTGGAATTGAATCCACCTTGACTTGATCGTTCTGTCACGGATAGCTTCACAATCAACGACGGCTTTCTTCTCTTCCTTCAGTTCACGCGCTTAAACCAGACTAGCATAATCACTCCCCAAAAGGTCATACGCTTACGTTAAACTTCTGCTATTTAAAAGGTTTCTAATTTGCATGTTCACGTTTCGCTTCTGAATTTGATTGGAAAGAATTTGCCTTTTTCACACCCAAAGAACCCAAGAGGAGATTTTAGTAGAAAACGCGATGAGCCCGTCACAAGGCGAGTTGATCTCAAACTTTGTTCAGTGTGTCTGAGGTAATTCTTGCAACAGCTGCTTCAATCCTATGTCTTTAGTCTGGAAGGTCAGCTGGAAGCGGAGGTACGTACACACAATCCTTTATGAACCCTCACCGATAAAAGTCACAGGGATTCAGATCGGGTGAACGTGGAGGTTATGTGATGCAATCTTTATCGGGAGGCTCTTTGCAGCCAATCCATAGGTTGGGTACAGTGATATTTAACCAATCGCATACTGAGAGATGCTAGTGAGGTAATGCACCATCTTGCTGCCAAATGAAGTTATTTGATTCACTTTCTTCCAATTGAGAAAATAGCCTCAGTTATAGAGCATCAAAATAGGCAGAACCAGTTACAGTTGGTTACCAGTTACAGCCTTGGTCGTCCCGTACTTTTCCCTTTATAAAGACACCCTGTTGTTTCGAACTGATGATACTAACGAAGAATGTTGTTATCGTTTGGAAATTGACAACCAAACTTAATACAGAATGCTCGTTGCACATTAATAGCAGATTCTGTCTTTGCAAGCTGGAGAACACAAAACGCTGTCTGTTTACTAGTCGCCTTTTTTCTACTAGTGCGTTGATCGGCGAGTAAGGGGGAAAATTAACATACGTTTCGCGCACAAATGTCAACAAACAAAACCGTTTCAGTTGCTCTTTCATTCGATGCATGAGTCATACTAATATGCTGTATACTATGAAGCGTTAAAACTCCGATATTCTTTTAGAAACACCCGGTATTATAGTGAGATTAACTTAGAAGAATGTCCAGAGTATATACAGAGATAATTATGCCTCCTTCAGCTTAGTTCCCGGGATGCTTCATTCAAAGATATTAAATATTTATAATTCATTAAGATCGCTTAAGGAAATCACTCCCCACAAATAAGTATTTTTGATATTTTGAGCAGGAATACAACACATAAATAAAATCTTCTACAATACCTTATACTTCTGATCCAACGCTGTCTACAAGGCCAAACATCTATGAGTTTTAATCCGTCGTAAAATCAACTCTTCAATGTATATTTTATCAGATTAAATTTATAAGTTATTTTTAATGTTATATTTTTCCATGCTCCTATATTCGTTGAGGAATTTTTTTAAATATTTAACAAATTGATGAAATGATATTGTGTGCGGCAACCAATTTCCTTAACTATTATAATTTTCTCCTTAATTTTATTTGGATCTGAGTGTAAGTGTTTTCAAAAACAAATCAGAGTGTTCCAACCAAAACCAAAGAAGTGAACGTGAAGCTTAAATGCAAATTAGATAGCTTTTAAATAACAGAAGTTTCAGTAAGTGGAATGTCAATTTGGGGAATGTTATGTGAGAGGTTGATACAATCGTGAAAGGACGCCCAACAGAGGTTATTCCGAAGATAAAGCCATTAGATCAAGGTGCATACCATTGCACTCGCGTAAAGACGCCAATTCCTAGTATCGGAGCTACGATTGGATTAAGGTAGGATTGACTATTTAATATTAGGACTTGCGTTATTATTGGAATTAAGATTAGGCGGGTTAGATATTGATAATGGTCCGAGTTACTTCTTTCGGTATTACTTGTACTGTGTGTTTGTTCATCGTGTAGATTCTCACATATATATTATTATCTAATCTGTTAAAAGCTTAAGTTCTAGTTCTTAATAAAGTCATATTAAGAGCATGGCAAATTCTTTAGTTGACCCTACACCTCTAGCTCACGCAGATAATATAAGAGAAGGGCACCCTAGGGGGCACTTTCACACAATACTTAGCAGAAATATTCTTTTAAATCCACTCTTCCAAGATATATGACAGCACAGGTTCCATGATGAGTATTTTAGCTGTGAAGGCAAATAGTTTTAGAGCGGAAATTGTGTTTTCAGCTGACGGCGTTTTCAGCGGATTGCAAAGATTGTCTTTTTTGTTCCGAAAAAATAGTTAATGTTAAAAGGTAAGGGTGTCTTATTATTTTTTGAAGTTATACTTCTTTTGGGGCGTTAGAGAAATAGGATGAGGGTAAATTTTTACGATGAATGCGCACACCGTCAAGGATGCGAAAACGCTTTGTCTAACAATATACAGAAAGGGACAGATCAATCCCGCCTTCGAAATCTCAGGAAAATATTTCTCTTCCCTTCCTTGAAGAAGGGGACACCCGGGTTTGAACCGGGGACCTCTCGATCTACAGTCGAATGCTCTACCACTGAGCTTTACACCCGCATCAGCGAACCTTTGCTTTGCGTAGGAACGGATACGAAAATACTTTGTCTAGAAATACACAGAACGGGACAGATCATTCCCGTCTTTGAAATCCTGAAAAAAATATTTCTCTTCACTTCCCCCCTCAAGGGGCTCACCTTTTTTAGGTGGGTACGGGTGTCACAATCCCGAGGTACCCTCTAGTGATCTTTTCCTTTTCCCAAGGGGTTTACTATCTTTGGTAAACACGGGTGTCACGACCCCGGGGTATCCCAGTGATCCTTCTCTATTTTCGACACTCCATCTTGTCATCCAATTTCTTTTTTTCCCGTCTAGACCACAGACCTATGAATGTTTGGCGCAGTATAGCCAAAACTGGCTCTTGCGCCATAAAACACCAAACTCAACTCAACTCATTCTCTTCACTTCCCTGAAGGACACCCGGGTTTGAAGCGAGGACCTCTCGGTCTGCAGTTGAATGCTCTACCACTGAGCTGTACCCCGCATCAGTTAACCTTTGATTTGCGTTCCGTAGGAACGGATACGAAAATGCTTTGATTAGAAATATGCAGAACGGGACAGATCATTCCCGCCTACGAACCCCTCACCATATTATTGGTCATATTGTCCCTGTGCGGGGGTGTTTAAATTTATTTAAATCGTGATTATCTCAGGTTTGGCTGGCCCGATTGACTGAAGGTTAGTATCTTTCAACTCTGCTAGTGACCGCCTTTCGTCCTTGGCCCAGCATACCCTGCTAAAGATTTTTAGAAAGATTTTAATCTTGTTACGCTAAAGAAGTATAACTTCTTATACGTGAGTACATAAGTACTCATTTTTTTTGTATTTTAATGAAGACCTTAGAAAACGATTTGACTTTTTTAAGTGAGCAGTGTATATAATTAATTTTACAGTTGAATATCCTTAATTAATTAATTAGCTCTAATGGATTAAATTTCACAAATTTGAGTATTTTGTTTATGTATATCCCTTAATTTTTATTGTAGTGATTAAAAAAATATATTGCATGAAAAAAACTGTAATAAATCATAATGTGGTAGATAAAGGGTTAATATATATATATTTTACGTTTACGAATTCTCGTGAATAAATATACCCCAAACAGAATATAACGAGTTTTTTTCAGGGGTTTTATTAACTGGTATTCAAATTTAAAACCAAAGCATGAGTTAAGCTTACAACACAATACTAAGGAAAGTAACTTCGTCAATGGCATGATTGATAAGGAAAAATTACCCACACCCGTTTAATACAAAGACAAAATGGTCGTCCTATAATCAGAACCGGAAAAAATGTCTGATACAATCAAAGGAGAGTCCTTTAATCCCAACCCACGTTGCATTTTGCGGTTTTCGTAGTAGTTCTACTGGCCTGCTATCTTATGAAAGCACTTCTATTTAAATAACAATCAAATACATCTCGCCCAAATAAAACTACTTTGTTTTAAAATCCTTTCTCGGAGATAAATCTTCAGATTAATCTTATTTTAAAACACGCTTCTAAGTTTTTATAAAATGCATATCTCTGTATCAAAATGATTTAAAATTTCGGTTTTATATGAAAAAAGTATTTTGAAAACATTCCATAAATACACATACACTATTGCAGCTTCATTTAAGACCATTTTAATACACCCTCTAATATTACTACATTTTTAAAAGAAAATATTTTAAACACTACGAATCACTTGCACTTGATTCTTGCTAGAGTTTATTACCAAAAGTAAATCAATGGGCTAAATTCATATGACGTCATAATCGCATCACGATTCTCCAGCCAATTAGTTCATAAATTCATGCGACATCTCAATCACGTGATAAATATAATCATGCGTTTCCAACTAATCAGTCTATGCATTTCGCTGTTGCCATCTTTTGCTTTTTGCAAAAACTTTCTTTTAAAAAATACATATTTGAAAAGAATAATAACGTACATAAGTAAGCAAAATACACTTGATTCAAAAGAACATAAGAATTTTTTATTTTAAAATCGCTTTGATGAATTTTTTATATATATAATACTTGAACATCTTTGCTCAATCATAAAATTTCATCAAAATTTTACAAATAGAACAACAAGTGCAAGTTAGTTTAATGTCAATTTGAGAATTCGATTGAGAACACGTGATTAGCTTTACATGTGTCTGTCATAAATTTAGTCCATAGAAAGCTGATAATTATAAACGCACGAGTATTTTGACTTCTATGCAGCTGCGAAATTGATTAGATACGGTTATCCTGAAATCAACTCTGAAGGTCATACGAACGTCTGGCAGGTGCTTCGTGTACTCATGATACAATAGAAATAACTTAAGCTCATTCCACAAACCTAATTTCAAACATGTATTGAAGGAATGGTCAAAAGCTTCAATGTATACATAACAATATATACAGAAGTGAACACTATCTTATTCATCAATGGACTTTACAGTCGTCTCGAAACATCAAATTAAACACAGATATTACTGCGTTGAAACTTCTCTATCAATGTTTTCTAATTAAATTTTCAAAAATACTGGCTATTTGATATCTTAGTACTGTGCGTTATATCTATCAGTTTCAATGGGTTGAAGAAAGTATTTGGAGATTTTAAGTGAGCTGAGCATCATTCAGACTCTTCTATTCCTCGAATC